GATTCATCTGTGCCCTCTCGGACGGATTCTTTTGCGTCGATAGACATGCTTGTTGAGATGTCTGCCATTTCAATAAGGAGAAATTGTAATACTATGATGTTCTGAACCCCGCCTTTTGTTGGCCCCAGGTATTGGCCTCGGCAAAAATTTATACAGACCAAACGAATTAAAAGAGTGAATGCACCATATAACCAGTACAGTATGAATGCTTGACAGAAGCTTGGACAGCGAGGTTGCGTCTAAAAACAGTAATAGACTACTCGTTATCAGATGCTATATGGCCCTATAGGCGCCGTTCCACTGACTCCCGACTTTCTGGAAACTGGAGATAAGGTAGGGATGGCGTACGAGGCTGAGAGCCTGAGATGAACCGGTGGTTGCGTGATAGAGATTGATACAGTTACAATGTATTGGAGAATGATTGATAGAGTAAAAGATAGAGTAATGAGAATGTGAGACTTCGGTCAAAAAGTTGTGTAATGAAAACTCAGTTGAGGAGCCTCTTCCTTTTAGATGGAGGAGAATATTTTTCACGGTTAGGGAGGGGTTTGAATCAGATCCGATTCGGAAAGCACGGTACACTACTATAAGTCAAAACCCTGCCTCTTGTTGATGTTTCTAATTCCAAGGTTCATACGTATTTTTTTTGGGGGGGGGGGAAGGGAAATTCTTCTCGCAACTAGTATAGGAGTACCAGGTAGTCTGGGATCCACTAGTTTTGAATCCGCCCACAGAGAAGAGAATTTTTGCGGTGCTGGCGTTGGTGCGGCTCGGGCTATTCATCCAAAAATGCAATAATATGATTGAATTGGAACACAAGGTTACCGTGTGAAAGGAGTCTTGGCAACTTACGGAGTATGTTCACCTAAGAGAGGGGTTTCGTTAAACTCACTGGGAGAAATATATATACATACGCCGCCTGGTCACTATGGTGGGTGACTACTTACGATCAACTACGAAGTATGATCCCACGGACAATGTCGAATGTTTAATGGATAGATATAGTGAGGGTCAACTCTACGCCGAGTCTACGGTGGACTAAAACATTGTGAGAAACGCAAGACGACGAGGATTATCAGAAGGGCTGGTAATGACAATTTGACGATGATGCAGCTCGGGATCTCAGATGATGTTTGAATCCAGTTAGCCAGGCACAAGACCGAATGAACTAGGACTTTTGAAGTTTTGATGAATCCATTCAAAATAATTTTAATATGGAGCCCATTAGTACGGGCTCTTGATTGGAGAATTGAGATTCCATACCGTGATCGGAATCTCGCTGACTAGAGAACACATCGGACTATATAGATAGCATTATACAAAGTAGGTACGAGACTACGAGTACGCCTTTTTCCTGGCTAGGCTGGTAAGGCTAGATTAGGTAGGGTAAGGTAAGGTAAGGCAAGGTAAGGAATTCGACCAATATACACAATTTGCTGCTTGGGACTTGCTGTTTTGGTGAGTACAATATGTACTCAACATTGTAACGGTACAATGTAAACCCATTATGGCACGAGAAATGCAGTAAACTGCAGCAAAGGCGGAGAGAAACATGCACGATTCGTGACTCGATGGAACCTTGCTAGGGACATTTTCTCTCCACATAAACTAATTGTGGCTCTTTCTCGGCATAACTAGACCAGAGTGAGCAAGATCAAATCAGGTGCGGAATCGCGGATGTCGTATACTGTTTAGTGCTAATGAGTGTAGCTTTTTTTATTGATGGCCTTCTAAATGCCTTCTAAATGGCTTCCAGAAAAATTACTACTACACGCTTTATCCATGATGGTCTGAACACGCATAACAAGTCTATTAGCCACCAAAATCTGTGTCATCTCGATGTCTGTTCTATGAACCAACGAACCACCGACAACGACAATGCCAACAACACTAGCCTCACTACAAAGCTTGGCTCTTCAGAAACCGTTGAGAACACTGATCATTCATCCATTTGGCTTTACTAACCTGATTGCTTCCTTATCAATACTCTCCCTCCTTCGCTTGTCTGTGCTACATACTTAGGGATTTGCCTGACAGGATATATTGCATAAATAAGGTCTACATTGGCATCGTTTGAATTTCACACCATGTATGAGTGGTACGCGGGACTGGCGATTGTTACATCCTACCATTGTCATGGTAAATGCATGCATGGCTCTTTTGGCATTTTCCCCTTCCGTTTTGCCCAGTGCTTACTACTCCTCACTGCATCAACGAACTTGGCTAAAAGTTCCCTCTCTCCCAAGATGTTTGTCCTCAACATCCAACTTGTAAGGCCATGTTTATTCCCGGAAATCTGGTCATTCAGTCATCATTCGGATGTGGCCGTCATGAATTCACAATGATTACTCGGGATGTCTTCAAATCACAATTGCAGAGCATGGATGATTTGATCACCTGCCAAATAGTAACCACATCCTGATCCATTGCCTGGGTCCAATTGGAGTCTTACCTATCGTGGCTTTTCACTCGGCTGCAACTTGCTTGTTGGAAGTTGAGGTCGTCCAAAGAGAAACCTTTCTTAACTTCTCAAGGCAGCGGCCAACTTCGCATCTGACAATGGAGCAATACATACAAAACGCCACTATGATTCATAATTGGTCCAAAAAAAGAGTGATAAAAGATGCGGGCGTTGATTAATTGGGCTAGATTCCACATTCAGAAAGACAGATTCCATGGACGAGCAAGCTTCCACATCTTCCACATCTTCCAGTCTCCAAAGTCCAAACCACAGTCTACCACCAACTTGTATAAGTTGTCAATGCTGTACGGAGCGGTCACTTTGGATGCTGCACGCGTGTATCTAATCCTTATCTATGATATTATTTTATATCCCTTTTAATATATTCTTCACACCGTGCGGGCGTGCACACGCTTCATGATTCATCAATTTCATCATTTACAGGTAGGATCTTACATATCTGGGGTTCTGAAGCAAAAGTCCGCTACTGAGTTCTAACTTCCAACCTTGATTACTACCCTTGTACTTCACACGTCCGATATGAGAGATGTGATTTGTACGAAGTATAGGCTGGCCCAGGTTTCTCTTTAAGCTAGATGATCACATCAAGCATATCTCCACGGAGCCTTATCTACCAAGCTATCTTATTTCAGCAGGTCCAGCCAGGAATATGGCGCTGTACTGAAAGCCTTCTGTTTGGGTGTTGTCGCACCGATTTTAATGAACCAATACGTGTTTAGTTGCCACAAGGCTGTGATTATTAAGATGTGTGAAATTTTAAGCATCAAGTGTTTTGGTCGGTACCATCATCCATGACATACCAAAACACCATCCCACTTTTGTTATTTTAAGGTTTCCAATGTCACGTTGAATTGAGATGTGCCAATGCCAAATGAATGCAGATCAGTCGGAGAGACTGTGGGACTTGATTATTCGGCTTTCAAATCCTCAAATAGTTAAGATCAAAGGGTTTTAAGGCTACGCGGTAGAGTCCATATCTCATGAACCTTGAAAGCTCCATCAATAAATAGCATATACCGAGCCAATCCTTGAGCAACGAGCTTGAGCAACGAGGAGGGAATATATCAGGGCTGACGTTTCGAATTGCGAGGCCAAAATTGAGTATTTCCCTCAGCTCTGGATGATCCCCATCCACTTTCGACTGTGATTTACTTTCAAAGTGCACACCGATACAACCATTTCTCGGTCAAGAGAATGGGGTCCGAATTCGGCAACTATGACCATCATGCGCCCATCATGAGTCCATGAACAGCTGCGGCTACTTGCCGCGTGATAAAACGAAGTTTTCCAGAGAAGTACAGAGTATACAAAGTCACCAACCAAGCCACTCTAGGAATCCTTGGATGCTAGCTATCCTTGAGTCTTGGGAGCCGGGTGAAAGAATGGACCTTAAAGAATTAATTCATGAGCGGACCCGAAAAGCGACCCTTTAGCTTAGCAAGAAACCACCTGCTGGGTTTTCACCGAGCCTTACATCGTCGACCTCGGTCGACTCGACCCCCTCTGGCATTTCGAGTCTCGACGTTGATAGGGGGGCCAAACCCGTTGGATGCCAATGAATGGATATCTTTATTGGGGATTTTCCGCTTCTAGGAGTCTAGTACACTGATCCATGACGTGTTTAAATGAAAAGGACAGCTTGCAAAGGCATAGTATTATTTCACGACCTTACAAACTTCCATTCATGACTTTCTTATATCTTTAAGATTATGTCCGAAATCCTCTTCCAATTTTAATGGCAGCTGCCGCAACGCCGACGACCATTCTTGTGCCATGGCTCATGTGGTACAGAACCATGTTGTCTACTTGCCTCTTGATCTTGGCACTCTAGAGAGATGTTCACGGAAGTATTCGATATCTAGAACCACTCCACATGATGACTCCCCGAGGATCCGAAGTGGCTAATGGATATCAGTACCAGGAACTTACAGTAAGTACTAGGAGATTTGGTTGGAAGCTCCAGTTTTTGATGCTTTCTAGCATTTGATTGACTGCCAAAGAGCTCACGTACTCTTGTAACAACATTTAGTGCCAGCATGTTCTCTACATGTATGATATGATTAACACAAACCTCAAAAGACTTCAAGTTAGTTTGCTATGAATTAGCTACCACAGCAGGCAAAGATGACTGCACAGCATCTCAATCTTTCAATCAAAACTAGTAACTGCTATCGCTAGAATATGCCATGCTTTCCTTTTGATTTTAACAAATATTCTATTTAATCGGCTACATACCAAGGGAGATAGCTTCATATTGAACTTGCTAATTGCTTCATGAGATGCAGCGGCACGTGATGACAAGCGCCAAAACCTTATTTTTGGTGCATTGCCGTTATGTGTCCTCCTCGGTACCTGGAAAGCATCAGGAAGCTTCAACATAACATCATACGTTGGTCGAATTTCTCGAGCTCTATCAACAAGTTCAATTTCTCTCCATAATTATTACTTCCCGACAATCTCAACTCCCAGAATAGTAAAGATTACCCCATTCCAAAGTTCCCGAGGGAAACCAACCAGCATGCGATTCACATCTTTACCCTCGGCCCTCCTGCTTGGACTCGCCTTGCACATTGGAGTAGAAGGTGCAGGCTTGGAGGACAAGAAACCCAAGCCTGTAGACCCATGTACTATTTCATCGACGACAGGATCTTTCTTTGATCTGAGACCATTATCGATACAAGCTCCAGAAGAAGGGAAGAAACCTGCCAAAAATGCGAAGACGGACAGTTGGCATGCAAGAGGATATGATTACAAGGGAAATTTTACACTGAACGTGTGCGCGCCAGTGGTAGAAGAAGTGAAGGATTTTGTTGGAGTAGACAAAAACTATTGGAAGAACGTGAGCGCTTTTTATGAATATGACGGAAAGAAGTATTCCGTAGGGTAAGTTGAATCTTTGTTGCATTGTTACAGACAAACATATTAACCAGCATATTTCAGACAACAATCAGGAAACTTAACACTCCGCGGAAGAAAGCTTGTTGTAGAGTATACTAATGGATCGCCATGTGGAGGAAAGAACAAAAAAAGAAGCTGGGACGATGACGATGACGATGACGACGACGACGATGACGGTAAATCCATACGCCGTAAATCTAGCATAATATCTTTCCACTGCGAGAAAGATCCACTCGCTACTGCATCCGCCTCATATGTAGGATCCGATCCAGAAGAATGCGCCTATTTCTTCGAAGTGCGCTCACAAGCTGCTTGCGGAGGCTCCGAACCTGCCAAACAGACTGTAGGTCCGGGCGCTGTCTTCGCCATCATAGGAGTTATTGCCATAATGGTATATTTCCTCGGTGGTGTTTTCTATCAACGAAACGTCGCGCATGCAAGAGGGTGGAGACAATTGCCCAATTATAGCTTCTGGGCTAGCATAGGAGATTTCATAAAGGTGAGCTGCAAAAAATGTCTTATGAGATCAGCACCACAACTCTTTCCCCGTGTAGCGTCCGTTCGGGATGGCTCGTCGATATTGCCGACGATGGAGGTGAGGGGAATGTCGAATCGCAGGTCGCAGAAGTCGTATATACGTTCCGAGTAATCCCATACACGGAACACAAGTTCTCTCATGTGGGAGGACGCAGTTTTTTATATATATTCAAAATAATTGAGCGAGCGAACAGCGACATTCAGCATAGCATTTTTCTTTCGATTTTCAGGCTGCAATTAGGATAGGCATTCAGCATTATAGCATACAATACCCGGCGTTTCAATCAAAGATTATCACAATCTTACTTTTTCACTACTTATCGCAATGAAACCTCTCACAAGCGTGTCAAATTCAAGCTGCATCCATAATCAAATATTGCTATTTGCATATTTCTCTTTGTCTGCGCATACCGCTATCCATCTATCTATCCATTTATACAGAAGAATAAAGTCTTGGCGAAAAGCATAACTAACACTAATCAGGACGTTTTCATCATCGCTACTTCATCATGCTCAAGATGTCTACCAACCCATAGGGGATACAATGCCTTGAGTATCTCTGCAAATGGAAATTCTGGAGATGGAAGTAATGGTAGAGGGAGTGGGAGGGATAGAGGCGTTAGTGCAAATGAAAGTGGGAGGAGAAATTCGGGGAGCGAGGATGAAAATCGTTTGATTGATCAATTGGATGAGGAGTGGGATGATTAGAGATGGCCATCAGAAAGTTTGTGGTCTAGGATGTATATTGGAGAAGGGTAAAACTGGGTTGATATCGGGCTAGTATGGTGTATAAGGATAAGGCGTTATGGATTCGCAATCCGCGAGCGAGGGCAAACATCAGGAGGGAATCGATTGTTATGAATACGAATGCGAATATGAAGGCTCTGGAATAGATAGTTGACCTACCTACGATATGATTTTTTTTCTGTTTTCAAACTCTTCTTTTCTGATCTGTGTCTTTGGGATTTCAGCTATGGATGTATAGTGTCGATTTGGAACGGGGTACATGGGCGGCTTTCTTCTCCTTGTTTTGAAGAAAGATTAGAGAGGGTTTGCAATTTTCCATTCTACGTTTTGTTATGTGTGTGTTCTAAATATATATTAGACAATCCAACAATCAAGCGATACTGCAGAGAAGAGCAATGTGAGATGAGAGACGTGTCTAGGAATTATCCGGTATATCCATCTTCTATTGGACTTCATCGATGCTACCCAAGAGACTTCTGAGACTTGGGATTCGATGATTATACTGACACTTTGTTTACATTCGAGTAGCGAGGTGTCTCGATCGATATGAAGAGTGGACAATTGGGGTGCAACAGAAGACGATTCTTTCTTTCCGGGATCCAGGTGCAGTCGTCTTGGGGATTCATGTTTAAGTCTCTTCTACATACTCTGACTCTCTACCCCCTTTTCCCCATTCTTCCGTTCATAGTTTTTTCTGTGTTCTCGTCTGGCTCTTTTTCTTTCTCATCGCTATTTGGGTCATCTGCACGCTATTAATACACTTCAAGCATCAGTCTCGCTTGGTTGAATCTTTCTCTGATTATCTCGACATCTAAATGAAAACAGAGTGGGTGTAATGCATATAAGAGATTGAATAGATGTGAATAACTAGATGATTGAGGATGATTGAATGAATACGGATTTGAATGTACTTGACTAGATGTAGGCAAATGTGAATGTTGAGGAACAGCGATATGCTTGAGCAGATACTAAATGAAAGAGTGTATCCGACAGACCCATAAATCAATGTCTCCGAAAAATAAAAATGCTAACCTGACCAGCATGTTGAACAAATACACCACAAAGATATCACAGACCATAAATAAAGTGGTTGAAGTACTGAACAGATGTATTAAAGCTGCTCTTAAAAGTAGTATAGGCTTCACTAATAATAGAACGCGTTGTTAATCTATCATAAAATACTAAAACACAGGGATATACTCCATAACAGTTCTCGAACCATGTCCATAACCATCCCTCAAACACCGTAACGCTATGCTATCCGTACGCCATTTTGTCAAGGTATCACTTCCTTATCACTTCATTTATGCCATGTCCAACTCCCTCCATCCCATATATACACGTTCTCCTGGACAATACTAGTCCCTAATATAAACCGGAATACCATAAATACAAACCGCAGCCGCATTAAGATATTTCAATTTACAAGCCCCCTTCGCCTGTGCCACGGCCTCAATCAACGACAACTTCACTCCACCCTCTAGAACCTTCTCCTCCTTCCCTTTCTTTCTTCCTCCCCCCTTCTTCTTTTCTTTTTCCTCCCCTTTCTCCCCCTCCTTCCCTAAAAGCCCCCACCCCTCCAACATCTTCCCCGCAAACCGATCAATATCCCTATCCGTAACATCCCATAACGTCGCCACCAATGCCGCACTCCCCGCATGCATATAATGTATCGGTTGCCCCCCCAATTCGAATTCTCCGTAATTCGAGAGCGCACCACTACTACAACCCATCAAAACTGTCACTGCGCATTTCTCCATCTTGCGAATTTCTTTAGAACGAATGAATTGTCCTCCGCTTCCATGGCCGAAGTACAAGAAGAGGTCTTTATTTTGTAGCTCATATTTCATTTCTTCTTCAGAAGGTGCACGATTGACAATGCCGGACCAAGAAGGAAGTGCTTCTAGAGCAGCTTGGAAAGTGGTTTGTGTGTTCTTGAGATCGCCTTCGGGGTTAAGGATATAGGCGCCGTTATTGCGATCGATGTAATGCCCCTCTGGGCCTTCATCTGACGTTTTCTGTTGTTTGGAAATTCGGTCCCGAAGACAACCAAGTGATGGAAGACGCGACACTGCTAAGCCTTCCATACATGGTAGTGATTCCCATGGAAAGATATGGAGAGCCTTGTCTAATATCAGGATAGTATGTATTCCTTCGTCGTGCTGACTCGAACTGTGAGCAGCTTCGTGATAGCAACGAAGAGCATCATGAATTTCAATGACGATTGAATCGAAATCGATTTCTGCATAAGCGTTCAATTCTCCGTGGAATTGAAGAACGTCAACAACGAAGTACAAAAGATCGGTCAGTTGTTCGGAAAAGTCGCTATCATCAGTTGATGGATTACCAAGACCGATAAATAACTCCAAAATCCTGCTGTCCAAAGTAACACGAGGTCCAGAGTTTCTTTTGCTCTTTCGACGAGAAGGGAGATGCTTGTTAAGTATATTATCAAAGGATTTTTGAAACCGAGCGAGAAGATCCGACTTCCTGGTGAATTGAGAGAATATTCCTGCAAACCCCCCTAGCCATACCTTCTCGATATTTTCTAGTAGATCCTTGAGACGAGAGTCTAACTCTGCACGTTCTGCCCACCAAGCAAGTTTGGCTTCGCGACCTGTTCTACTAGGGCCGCTTTGGGAGTTGGCCTTCGCAGAATCAATGATATTTAAGAGCTCGATTTTTCCTTGCTCAAACCCAAATACTTCTTCATCTGCATCCATGGAATTGTTACGCCCTAAAGGTAGACGAAGTACAAATGGACTATGTCCGGTTTGTAATTTAGTGATAGAAAGTTCTTGACGATTCTCGCTCAAAGATATTGAGAGGGCAGTCCATGTTTTGGGGAGGATATCGATATATTCCTTTTGAAATTTTGGAATATCGCAGAATGATAGTGAAGCGCCGAGACTTGATCGCCGGGACATAGCCCCGCAATCGGGCCAACGAAGGTCATCGAGTTCTGGGATACAAGTCTCTTGTAAGATGACTTTACGCTCTCTGCGGAATGCAAGAGTACGCGCAGAATCAATGGAGCAACTTGCAAGACCGGGCTGAGATCTTCCCTTGATTGGCCCTGCAGCAGAGAGCAAAATGGAGACATTATTCAAGAGAGAGGTTATCTTGTGCATAACAGAGATTGGAGCAACGAGAAATGCAACAGGATAGGTTTCCACTAGAATTTCTTGAGCTCGGTGCAACTTGTCGAAAAGGTTATCCGGACTTGGACTCTTCGCCCCACGGCCACTTCTCGATGTTTGTGTTTTTCTAGGTGGTGATTGTTGCACGAGATTTGGGTTTTCGGCGTGGCTCTTAGTACCTTTCAGACTTCCAACAACTGATGGAAATGAGAGAGTTGAGTCTTGAAGTACAGAGTATACTGGATCGGAGACCATTTGTTCCATGCATCGTACAAGCAGACACCGAGCCTCCGAGAGACCTTGATATACCTCGTCCAACTGGCTATTAGAGTATTTACTGGCTTCATCTAAGAAAACCCGGGCTTCATTCCTCTTTTTCACGCTCATGAGAGCGTCAGCCAATTGCCATAGAATGTTTGCTCGTAAAGAGTCCAATTGAGGACATTCTGTGCTAACTGATGATTCCAAAGGCGTTGGAGTTTTGGAACGAACGACAGGCTTTCGGGGGACTGGCATTTTCTTACGTGTGGTAGTTTTTCGAGCGGCTGGCGCTTTTCGTTTTGAAATTGAGAGCGTTTGAATTCCGGTTTCCAATGTATCAGGAACATCCGGCGCACTAATATCACCCAATTCGAGGGTTGCAAGAAATGCAGGGTCTATGAGAGTTTTGAGAGTTTGATTTGCTTCCTCTAGACATGCAATTTCTGCTTTACGATCTCCAAGCATTCCACGGAGACGTCCAATTTGACATGCAACTGTGACTGAACTTTTGCCCTTGGTCCCGTCTTTATAGAACTTTTCTGCGTCCGTAAGGTAATTAGTGCCTTTTTCTAGGTTCCCAGCTTTAGTCCAGATGTCTCCAAGTGTGGCCAAAGCTATTGCAGACTGCCCATCAAAATTGAATGATTTAATGAGCTCGTGAGCTTGCTCTCCATAATGTAACGTCTCCTGAAATAGCCCATGATGAGCGTACAAATTTGATAAATGAATCAACCCATGGAAAAGAGGAGCGACCAGTGGCCAGAATCCAATTCCTGATGGACTATCTTGTGGCTGAGGTTGACCCGCTATCTTGTTTGTGGAGATATCCAGCTGGGAGAGCCCATCCACTACTTTCTCCGCATCGTCTCTGGGTACAGCCGCCAGTTTCTTTTTTCGAAGTATTGCTTCAGTGGTAGCCCATGCGCGCCTAAGTAGTCTGACGCTCTGTTTAGCATGTACAAGAGCAGATTCTGAGCCTCCCTGTTCAATGGCAAGCATCGATCGAATCAAAGATGCTTTCGCTACAACACAATTCAGTCGGGTCTTTTCTTGTAGACTGAGAGGCGATTTATCTTCTTCTAGTTCTTTTCGTTCCAAAATGAAAGCTCCTTCAGCACACTCTAGATGAAATTGACTATTACATGTTAGTGGATTCCGGAGGATCAAAATTCGTGGACTTACCATTTCTCAAGGTTTCCAACTGCTAACATATATTGTGAGTGTGCGATGTGAAGGTCTGTTTTGGCACCAAGATTGCTACGCAAGCTATAACTTTGCGCCTTGTCCAATGCTAATCCAGCTTTTCCAGAATATCCAAGCTGAAGCCACGAGAGGCCTAAGGCACTGTAAGTCGACACAATGTCGTTGTGACCAGATACTTCACAGTAGAGCTCATTGTAATCAGCGATAAGGCGAAGAATGACAAGCTTGTCAGTTTCTAGACCTCGCATCTCCATGAAGTTGGCAAGTGACTGTAAGTGAAGCAAGAGCTGCGGGATGTTCTCGATGCGAAGCTGCAGAGCCGCGAGATTTTCAGCTTCAGAACGAATGGTTCGCCAGTTCACGATGCAATTTTTCAGATTTTTAATGCAAATCTCATCTTTCTGAAGTTCCATTATACTTATCGCCATAGCCACCCAATGCCTCAAGTAGCCTGCTAAACCAGAATCCTTTGTTGTGTCAATATCGATAGACTTGCTCATAAGAGCCGTGAGTGTCTCAACCATATAACCACCTTGTTGTTCATTGTGCGAATGTTGGAATATGGTTATTGCCCGTAGCCTGCGCACAGGATATTGGTTCAAGTCGTACAAGGAAATTAGGTGCTCAAAGACCTTGCTTTTTAAGTCCATAGCAACGGAAGTGGGATTAGTGAGGCCGGCCAAGATATCCAACTCATGTTCAAGGACAGCCCCCTTTTGCTCATCCGTCCAAGAGAGACCGAAAAGCCAAGGTTCGGGAGAAATTTCTGGGTAATTGAGGTATACCTTTACCAGAGACTGTATAGTACGAGCGAGAACTTGCGCATCGTCAGTACACTCCCAAGCTTTGCGAACAGACAGAATTTTGGCGTTTTCGACAACCTTGCACAAAACACCATTTTCTACTGTCTCATCTCGTAGCATTACAAGAGCTTTGAAAAGTTCGTCAAATCGACCCATGCTTTTGGAAAAATCCGCCATTCGTTCCAGTTTCATAGACATAAGGCCAGCGTTCCGGTCCGGTAAAGGCCTTGATTTAAGACAGTCAACTGACCTTCTGAGAACTACCCGTGTCTGTGGAGTTCCTTTGCCAGAATCGTTATTACGACGTAAGTCAAGAAAATACATGAAGTACAGGTTAGAAATTTTAATATAGCACTGTGTCGCATTAAAGTTTTCATCTTCCATAGAACCATGTTCTAGCCGGTCGAGTAATGTAAGACAATCTTGCAGTAAAGAATCTACCCGCTCCCATAATGGCGCCTCTTGTTTTAGAAGTAGTTTGACAAGGAATAATGCAGAATCAATTGCATGGACGGAGGGCTTGGTGATAAATTTCCTGCGTTGTTCGAATCGCACAACATCCTTGCTTGAGGCATTCTCATCCGGTTTCTTACCAATATAGCGAAGTGATAGTCGAGGGCATAAGGAAACGAGAGATTCACACAATTGTCGGACTTCGGGCGATAGGGCGTTTGTATTTGACGACTCAGACACAGGGTTCGAAATCGCAATGATAGCGGCTCTCCTTGCCGAAGAGACTTCTGTCAATAAATCATCGATTTCAGATGCCTCGCCCTTGAATGGTTGCTCTAGCACATCCAACAGCTCGACCAATAACTTTTCCGTTTGTTCGCGTTGAGAACCCCGCAGAGTGAGAGAAACTAAACGAGCTGTGAGAGCACTATGCCTAGCATTGGAGTCGGCTTTAGAATCAAGAAGATTTCTGACCATTCCAACCCATTCAATAGCTTCATCAATAATATTAGCTTCTTTAGAAAGGGATCCTAGTATACGGTATATTCCCATCAAGGCAGGTGCCGACTTGAGGCCGTCGGTTTCGTATTTCAATGATGACTTTTTGAGATGTGAAAATGCGTTAGAGCATTTTGTGTATACCTTATCAGCCTCATTTTGACTGCGTCGGGCATATGCTTGGATACATCTAAGGAAAGGGTCAAAGACATCCTTTTCAACATCTCCTTTATGATTTGCAAGTTTCCACCATGATAAGCGTACGTCGAGAGCTAAAGCTTGTAATATGAATGCCGCCTGTGGTGTTATGCTGACCTTACAATCCAAAGCGGTGGCATCTTCTGAGGACGAGACGCTTGGGCTCATAGATAGAAGCATATCTGACAGAGTTTGAAGTTGACGGGCAGACTTGTTCACTTGCGTTGAATCTTCGGCGGCTTTCAAAAGGAGTTTTACAGGCGAGGAGGCATGTCCGGGTCGTAGGAATGGCATTGCGGCTTCAATGGACTTAGGTTTCCGGGAGGCAATCATAAGCCTTAGTGCCTGTAACTGTGTTGTAATCACCAGACCTAGTTTTACACCTGCTGCAGAGATCTCCCCAAAATCCAAAAGTTCAGCCAGAGTTTGTGGTGTTGAAATGGAAGCTGCATCTTTGGGTACTAGCGCACTCTTCCCTTCAATTTCCACGTCTAACCGTCGTTTCAAGATTCTGAGCTCTTTAGTTGCCAGATCCTCTAATCCAAGTGCCAGTAATTTTCCGACTAGAACAGACATTCCGTTTTCGAGTTGTAGAGGCGGCATAGTAAGGCCTGTTATGTTCGCAGCTTGGATCCCTCGTAAACATAGAAAGGCAGCTCTGGCGCATTCCGCAACCGATCGAACTCCGGGAGAGCATGCTGACGTTGAAGATGCGGATCCATCTCGAGTTTTTGAAATGTTGGGCGAACTAGAAACTCTATTCAAAGCTCGTGGCTGTAATGGTGCTTGAGGAACTGAACTTGATCTTCTAAGCCCTTTGCGACCTGCTGCTTTCTCCTTGGTAGTTGGAGCTTTCCGGGGCTGAGATGGTACCTTGATCGCTTCTGTTAGAACTTTTAATGTATTATTTACAACTTCAGTAGCCAGTGTAAATTTTTCTTTCGCAGACAGCGATTCCACATTATCGTTTGCGTTCGCATTTTCCTTATCTGCCTCGTTAACTTTGGACCGCGATGGAGGAGCTCGAATTGTGCTGTTTTTTGTGGTTTTCACAGTCGCTTTAGGAACTATTTTTGAGGATCCAGAAGTATTCGGGGTAGTAGTCGCCTTAGAAGATAATAGGTCACTGAGCAGAGTGACTGTTGTTGGAGTACATGTTGTTGTCGAAGATATAGCGGCGCGCACAGCATCCGCGGACTGCTGTGATGAATTCATTACAATAGAAATTCTGTCAAGAAAGAAAAAGTATTATTGGTACTTAGACATTATTCCAAAAAGGTAAAAGGAAAACAATTGATGCCGTCTTCGAGTGATGTAAAGAATCATCAATCTCCATAATCGAAAAACGGAGGTCCCCTGTTGACTTTGTTTCCCAGGCAACCAAAAGACCTAAAACTTTCGGCTCATCCTAAAGCCCTACGGAAATTCAATTTTTGCAACTTCAATTCTGTCCATCTACCTATTGACGTCTTGACAACAATATTCAAATACCGGTTACAATGAACAAATCAACGATGATTAAAAGGCTGATCTCTGCGCCACCCGCTATCAGAAGCACAGTTCTTCAACAACGATTATTTCTTCCTCAGTTTCGCCAATATGCCGTTCAAAGCGTCACTCAGGCTTCGTTCTGGGCGAATATGATTCCTAAACCATTTCGAAAAAGCGAACGAGCCGTAAGCAAAAAGCCGAAATCTAAAGATTGGAATCCTGCGACTTTCTTCATATGGATCTTCCTTCTGATTGGATCCATGTCAATTCAGATGATCGCCTTAAGAAATGAATACACAGCTTTCAATCGCCGCGCTGATGCCAAAATTGGAGTATTGAAAGAGATTATTCAAAGAATAAGAAATGGAGAAAAGCCTGACGTTGAAGCACTTCTCGGAGTTGGAGATCGAGAACAAGAACGGGAATGGGAAGAAGGTACATATATTATTCATGATTAAATTCTCGGGGCATAATTCTAATGTGTCTGGATATAGTTTTACATGAGATCGAACGAGAAGACGCAGCGTTACAACAGTCTCCCGCAGAGAAATCTAAACCAGAAAATGTTGACGCTCCAGAGACCAAAATGAAGGCTCCCGAAAACGCGAAGAATAAGAGCAATGTGCCCTCGGGATTCTACTGAGAAGATTTATGTACAAAAAATGGTCTACTTTACAAGATTACAAGATTGATGGATGTATTCCTACGATAGCATGTCCTTGAACATACCGCTATTTTTCTGTCGTGCTTCATAAGGAGTTTGAACGTCGTCTTTTCTAGACGTGAAGCCGATCCGATTCAATTGATCAACAAGTGCAGGTAGAACTACATCAGTTCCCAATTCGGCTCTCACACCAAATTCCCCAGTTTGGCCACCAGAGAGATTCTTAAAGAATGCCTCCTCACCTCTGACCCCGCCCAGATTCAAAATTGCGATAGGCATATTCCTCTCTTGAGCACGTCGTGCTAATCTCCAAGCAGAGTATGTGGCAAGCGAAGTTCCCAATACCAACAGCCTTCCAGAATCATCTATCGCTTGTTCAGCAGCTTCCTTTACTTGCGCATTTATACTCTCCCCAAACATGACCACAGCGGGCTTCAATATACCCGCTGTACTCGTAGCTTGCCAAGCTCCCTCTTCATCAACTTCCACAATCGATTGTGATCCATCTTTTAAGATTGGAGGATTTTCAAGACAATGAGGGCACGGCGGATATCTGAAGGTGTCATATGGTGCTCCGGGTACGTCAACATCTCCGTCAGGATTTGCCTTCAAGCCTTTTGCTCGTCGGTCTTCTGGGTCTTCCGTAGTTAAAGCTCCGGATTCAAGTATTTCGGCCAGAAATGCCGCCCATGCTGGATTCAATCTTGCTAAAGATTCTTGGAAAACATCTCGAGGTAAGTCTTTTCGGCAGGTGACGCAAGTCAAAGCTCGAAGATATCCATGAAGTTCAACAGTTGCCAAATTTGGATGTGCCTCCGAGTGAAATGAATCAACGTTTTGTGTGACCACCCGCTTTACAATGTTCATATCGGCAAGGTCTTTAATAGCGTAATGGGCGGGATTCGGCCTGGCTTTGTGTAAATTAGTCCACCCTAGGAAACTCCTCGCCCAGTACCTTCGGCGTGCCTGATCGCTCGCAATGAATTCATGATAGTAAACAGGTCGATATGATTTGTTCAACACATATGTGCCTTTCGAACCTCGACTATTGAAGATGGAAGGTTAGCAATCGTCCACGCAATGTGAGCTTGGCACTGTATGATATATAGAGTCCCGGATGGTTAATATGCAATATCATATATACCCTGTTCGCTAAGCAAAAAGCTCCCTGAGAAGAAGATTCACCTCTTGTTGCAGCAGATGAAACAATGACCCCAAAGAACCAATGTACTCACTAATCTGCCAATCCTGAAGCCACAGAGATGCCGGCTCCTGACAAAATTACTGTTGATCGTGGGTCTTTGACTCCATCTGGAAGGTTGTGTGAAGGCGGGGCAGTGAGGAATTTCGACAGAGCGTGAATTGCCCCCGGCAATGAGTTTGCGCTTCGTGGCAGGATTGATGGAGCGGGCAGTGGACCCGTATAGGGTATTCTCATGAGAGGTTTTCGCATTGGATGGTCATGAATCTGACATTCAGCATTTAGACACGCGTTCGAGGATACGAAAGATTGTAGATAGAATAAATGAAATGAAATTCGAAATATACTAACGTCATGATTAGTTTGGTGGCGGATCAGGCTATGATATAGTGGCTTAGTCAATGCAAGGCTATCGTCTGTCTCTCTATCAATCTTAAATCTATCTATCTGCGAGGTACTCGTATCCATTCTTATTATTAATCTAATCGTCGCTTCTTCCGCTGCGAACATGTGCTGTCTTCAAGCTCGGAATATTAACTCGGGTATGCAAAGGATGATATTCCGCTGAAGTAACTATTATCTGTACACAAAGTACCTAGGTACCTAGGTATTTATATGAATGCCGGTAGAAAAGACTCCCGGTCCAAACTACCTACCCCAAGTTCCATATACATACAAGCAGTTTCTGTTTTATATCACGGATGTGGAGATATATATTCAACAGTGACATTCCCTAAATACCATTCATTCAAAGGCCACGCAAGGGCCAAGAAATATGTCTAAATAGAGTGACATCCTCACCCTGTACGTTTCATCCGATTTCTAAAGTATATCTAGGCATTCAAATGGCTTTTCGATGGCTGGCTACCGTCTCATCCAAAAACGGTCCATACCCAGTTAATTGTCGTCATTTGGGAAGGTGGGCTTGCGAATTTATTCATGCAATTCGATATCAATCTTACGAAAGCCTCGTTGTGCTTGTAGAAATTTACTCCACACCACCATCTAACGTTTGCTAATTCCTTTCTAATTCTTCACTAAGCAATAATTATATTTTAACTACATTTCCACTTTATGCTTATGATATATTTTTTCTCCTTACGCTCCGTCCAAAGTACATCCATCGACCCTTACCGTGGTCCGTAACACTCCTTGTAAAAGCACCTAGTCCCTTTAATGAACGCCTGGAAAGGGTGTATACGAAAAGGATATTGTCCGGTTAGAATACATTTCTTATTTTATGGTTAATTCCAAAATAAATTATTTATGTCCATGCCTCTTCATTGCTTCTCCCATGGACGCTTTTCGTTAAGAAGGCCTGTCGTCACACTGGGGTATAAGTCGAACATAAGGACACCTCAATATCAAATTGCCCGAGTATTGCGGACTGCCGCTTTCGATTCCACTTTACTCAATTATAGTACTAAAGCTTACAACATTCCTCTTAAATCCTTTCCAAGACTTCAATCATTATCCGATAACTTCAATCCAAGATTACTCAACTCAATGGCCGCTCTCACAACTACTCAAACGCGTTCACACGCGGGCCACTCTCATCATCACCATCATGATAATACATACCTTACCTCCACGAATAAGAACGATGCCGGTGTGCGGATTACTCGGATTGGGCTTTATTCGAACTTGGGGATGGCGGTTGCCAAAGGAGTAGGAGGATACATGTTCAACTCTCAAGCTATGTTGGCAGACGCCTGGCACAGTGTCACCGATCTTGCCAGTGATATTCTTACATTGGCAACAGTTTCCTGGAGTCTTAAACCTCCGACTGAACTCTTTCCAACAGGGTTTGGAAAGGTTGAGAGCTTAGGATCATTGGGTGTTAGTGGCATGCTTCTTTTCGGAGGGATGTTCATGTGCTTGAATAGTTCCGAGATCCTGTATGCACATTTCTTCTTAGATGCCCATGCGGCCGCAGAAGCTGCCGCACATGCACATGGACATAGCCATAGTCATGGGCCATTACTACCTAGTTTACACGCTGCTTGGTTAGCTGCCGGTACAATCATCGTCAAGGAATACCTATACCAAGCAAGTAAGTTGCAATTGGCAAGTCGTGTGTTGATTTATCATATGCTGACTTAAATCTCCACAGCAATGAAAGTAGCACGAGAAAGAAAGAGCTCAGTTCTAGCCAGTAATGCGATTCATCACAGAGTTGACTCCCTCACCGGTATCGTTACCCTTTTCGCGATTCTCGGAGCAAATTTCCTACACGAGGCAGCTTGGTTGGACCCTGTTGGAGGATTCCTCATCTCATTACTCGTGATCAAGGCTGGATGGGGCAATACTATATCATCGCTATATGAATTGGCAGATAGGGGAATCGACTCCGAGGTCAAGGAGTCTGTCACAAAAGCGGTACAGAAGAGTCTGCTCAATCTTACAGAAGGGTCAGAAGTGGAATTACGAGAAGTCGAGGGTGTTAAATCCGGGCAGAACTATCTAATAGAGCTTCAACTTGCCGTACCTAAGGAGTGGACAGTTGAGGATATTAGAGAAGTAGAGGATGGTGTAAGGCAAATGGTTGGCTCAAAGGTTCGAGGTGTTCGACGAGTGAAAGTACGCTTTGTACCAAGAGATGAAGCCAAACCTTCCCTTTTCGATGAGTTTATCAGTGGAGATGTGAGCCCACGAGAAAGTCCTGAACCTGAATTGAATGGACACGACCACGATCACGATCACAATGGACATGCCCACAGTCATGACACTAAGAAGACGTTATAGTCGATATAGAAGATCGTATGAACATTCATCATGTGGAGTTTTGCATGGAATTGGAGTTGGCGTTAAGGATGGGTGTAAGACTTCATGATAAGTCTTTGCAGAGGAGCAATTTGGCGTAGGGGTTGAAATTTCTACAAGATTGTACTCTATGCAATGTATCAAAATTTATAGAGCCATTATGATGGAAACTGATTGTCTGCTTTGATTGGTGCGCATCTAAACACCCGAACCACTTGGATTTGTGGCTTTCATTCAGGCTAAATGTGGATACTATTCCAACGTCAACTTTTACTAATCCTCCCTTTCTCCATAACCCCACGATAGAGGCAGGTCCGATTCTTTATGTATAAAATAGCCCTTTCGTTCTTGTTTTGCTCTTCGATTTTGTAATATTTAATTCATTCACTGTATTTCTCCATCAGGTCAATATTTCAATCAAGACGACGAATCCAAACATGTCTTCAAAAGATGAATCTTTATACCTAGGATTTGATCTCTCCACCCAACAACTAAAAGGTATGTCCACGTGAGCATCGTTCCCTCATTTTACCGCTCTCTAATTTCTTTTTCAAGCAATTGTGGTATCATCTTCCCTCAAAGTCCGATACGAAGCTAAAGTCGACTTTGATGCCGACCTCTCCAAATATGGCATCAAAAAAGGTGTACATGTCAATGAAGCCGAAAGAGAGGTTTACGCACCAGTGGCCATGTGGCTCGAAGCTGTCGATCTAGTTCTTCAACGACTTTCGGAAAAATCTTGTCCGTTCCATTTGATTAAGGGAATTTCAGGCTCAGGTCAACAACATGGAAGTGTTTACTGGAGCCAAAAGGGTGAAGAGGTACTAGGAGCTTTGGAGACGAAAAAGACTTTGGTAGAGCAGTTAAAGGATACGTTTGCGCATCCGTGGAGTCCTAATTGGCAAGATGCGAGCACGCAAGAGGAATGTGATGCTTTTGATCGGGAGTTGGGAAGTGAGGAGAAACTAGCAGAAGTTACAGGGAGTAAAGCCCATCATGTTAGTCTTGTCCTGTTAATTCTCGATCGTTATGTCGCAGGAATTATGCGTAGGTGGATTGGCTTTAACTAACAATATTGACAGCGATTCACGGGGCCACAAATCATGCGTTTCCACAAAAAGTATCCAGAGGTCTACCGCCGTACTTCTCGTATAACCCTCGTCTCATCTTTCCTCGCATCTTTATTCCTTGGGAAAATTGCTCCCTTTGATATTAGTGATGTTTGCGGCATGGATCTCTGGGACATAAAATCCGGATCTTGGAGCGAGCCTCTTCTCACCCTTGCAGCTGGCTCCGATGGTCTTGCTTCCTTGAAATCCAAACTTGGGGAGGTACGAGAAGATGGCGGCGGAAGCATGGGTTCTATATCCCCGTATTTCACATCTCGCTATAACTTCCCCACCGACTGTGGAATCGTTCCTTTCACCGGCGATAATCCGGCCACAATCTTGGCCCTCCCTCTTCGCCCCATGGACGCTATCGTCTCCCTCGGAACATCCACAACCTTCCTTATGCCAACCCCCAATTACGTCCCAGATCCTGCTTACCACTTTTTCAACCATCCTACTACAGCGGGTCTCTACATGTTCATGCTTTGCTATAAGAACGGAGGTCTCGCCCGCGAGAAAATTAGAGATGCTCTCCCCATATCCAAAACCTCAGATCCATGGTCCAACTTCAACAAAGCGGCCACAGAAACCCCACCTCTCGCTCAAGAGTCACCTTCTGATCCAGCAAAACTAGCTCTTTATTTTCCTCTCCCAGAAATCGTGCCAAATGTTCGGGCCGGCACTTTCCGATACGAATCCTCACCAGGCAATACACTAAATGAAGCCAAAACGCCATATGATCCAGAAACGGATGCTCGTATCATTGTAGAATCTCAAATCCTTTCTTTACGTCTTCGCTCGCAGAAATTGGTTACTTCACCTTCGAAGGATATACCAGCTCAACCTCGTCGTATCTATCTTGTAGGTGGTGGCTCGCATAATCCGGCCATTGCGAAAATTGTGGGCGAGGTGCTGGGTGGGGTAGAGGGGGTATGGAGATTGGATGTTGGAGGGAACGCGTGTGCTTTGGGCGGTGCTTATAAAGCCGTTTGGGGTGTAGAGCGAAGCGAGAAAGAAAGGGGAAAGATTGGAAGTGGAAATGGGGCGAAATGGGGAGGGGAAAGTTTCGATGAATTAATAGGAAGAAGGTGGAAAGAAGAGGGTGCTATTGAGAGGATAGATGAGGGGTATAGACCTGAGGCGTGGAAGAAATATGGGAGTGCTCTTGGAGCTTTCGAGGAGATGGAGAAGGTGATTCTGGAGGGCGAGGAAAGGTTTAAGAAGTGATCTTGCTAGTAGAGTTGTGGTAGTTGATGACTATTATGTTGGCATTGATTAATATAGTTATACAAATCCCCAGATTTATAGCCCAACTTGCTCATAATTTCACAATCTATCCCCAAAATTCATCGGACTTTTGTTGTAACTACCTATATGCTGCATCAAGCTAGTGTTAGAGTGCCGAGAAGTTTGGCCTACCAAGATAGCACTGTCCAATGATCTCAGTCGAAGCGGTCGCTAATCCGTCTTCGATGCCCGTTTCTTTCAGATCCGCAATAAAACTTTCTCAGTGAATTCATGGTTTTGTTGCACATCCGATTTGAAAAGCCGAAAGCGAGCGGGCGATCGTTACCGGCATGCCGCGGTTTAGCTTTCATAGATTGAGTATAGATCTAGCAAAATCCAGACTTTAGCATTTCACGGATGGCGGATTCATTGCTCCTAACTCGCGTATATTGCTTTATGACATGTCTTCTCATCAAGCTGTGTTGTTCCATCACGCCGCCCACAAATCGCCACTTATTAGATATGCAACTATTTTTGGGGGTTTGACCTATCGAGCTGGGGATTGTTGGGTTTACTTGACATGATTAGTCCGGTTTAGTTTCATACTTTTTGAATTGAATTGTTCAACGAAGTCGCTAACCAAGTTATTCACCAAGTCGGTCTCTTTTGCTCCCTGCTTGGCTGTCTAATTATCCGTGTGTCAACGGTGAGCTAGAGACACGACTCGATTTGGAGTTGTGGATTCTGGCCTATCAGATCAGTTTTCTGAGATTCGCTATATATATCAGCAATCGCTAGCTTCAACTTTCAGCAGATCTATATGCACCGAAACCCTGCAATTATGTAACGAAGTGCAAAATGCATCTTTCAGTAGTTTTCATTGACGCCGAGAGTGGGATCAGGGGGTTTGTACGTACCTCCCCAACCTAGATACATTACAATCATTCCTCAAATGAAAATGACCAATTATCATCAGAGACGTATCTGCAAAGAAAATAACCAAACCAAACTAAACCACTGATACAATATCTTACAGTAAAGGAGATCACAAAAGATTGAGCAACACAGGATAGAATAGTTATAACTTATGATTCTACTTGAAGTAATCACCTATACATGGAGAAGTCGTAGGCTTTCCGTGATAGGAGTGTAGAGACGCACTCCCAGTCTACGATTCTGGTAATAGTGCCATCATTATCTACTAAGATATTCCGCAACGATAAATCGTCGTGTAAAAGAGTACGCATTGCTCTGGGATGGAGTCAGTGGTAGGGAAAACACCAGGTAGAAATTTGAGAAGTCTCGCGGCGAGAATCTTAGTGTCCTGCGCGTCTTAAATCTCGTCCTCATCGTCGTTCGTTGTAAGATCTTTTTCCTGGTCGGTAAGTACTAAGATGAGATGAGTATGTAGTCAGTTTTTGCTCTTGGCGAATGGCCCTCGGGGTATATCGCGTGTGATGTGATCTCCCCAGACGAAGAACGTTGACACTATTTCTCCTTTGGCAAGCAACAGCTGTCGTGAGTCTTATAGTGTTTCTTGGAACTAGCTGATAATACTCTGCAAGACAGATTCCCGTTTACAAGCTGAGGTTCTGGTACAACAGATACGTTACCATTAGCAGAGAACTTGTGACTTGAAAGCAGGATTTGATATCGTGCAATCTGTTTGATCAGATTCTGTTTGGGAGTTCGGGATAATTTCCTCACTTCGTTCTCAAGCTCTCAAGTTGTCACCGGGTGGCATATTCATTAACATCCATTCGAACCAAGCTCGTTTTTGCTAGCATTATCAAACGCAAGAATTTGAGGCACCAATATCTGGCGAACGAAATTGATAGTTGCTACCTCACTAATTTTTTAATTTTTTTGGAAGGGAATGACAGGCAATGTGACACAAAATAAGAAGATTCCATTTGCAGTTTCAACTTTGTAAAATTTATTGAAGGCCTCTTCAGCATAAAAGCGAAGATGACAGAAGCTACATTTTCTTGAAGGTTGAAGTGCTTTCGAGCGATTAATTCAACTTTTGCGATATCCGGCTCAGATGTCTAATGCTGTTCGAGACCAAATGTCTCGGTCACCTATTTCAGTCCATCTTTTTCCATCATTTTGTGAGTGTCACAAAGCGTTGATAACGAATCGAGGGTAACGGACTGCGAGATTAGTGAAGTGATGTGCCAAAGGAAATCCGTTGTCACCAAACATTCCAATATTTTGTAATCAAAAACGTTGAAAAGAACAAGAACTAGTAGTTATGTGAGATTTGCCAATTTTGACAATCTTTCCATTTCTTCACGTGGAATGTGCAAATCTTGAGGCTGAGGTTGAATTTCGGTGCCATGAAGTGGGGCCGAATCTGCCCATATGGGAAACCCTTTATATGGCATTCGATTTATAACCCTCTTCAATCTTGCATAGCTAGTTCAAACTGTACACTTTTCAACCGTGAACTAGCTGTCGGACTATACTCAAACACGTTGAATCTAAGGCTCTTGAATGTTATGTTGGAGATCTCTATTTTCCATCATACGGGCCTTATCCCAATAAGTAGGATTACTATTATTGCTCCTAGGTAGGTTATACTAAAGTTCTATGCATTTCTCAAACTGTTCAAGAAACCAGATCTTGGACAGATAACCAGTCTGGGATCGACCTGTGGCAGTTTTCACTATTTGAATGGTGGAGTATGTAGGGTGCGGCCGCGCAAGAGACATGGACGGGCGAAGTGTGATTCACCGTCGATCTCAGGGTTGGAAGAGCGTCAGCTGGGAAAGTTTAAAGGGGAACTGTCTTTTGACTTTCAAGCTATTTACAATGACTGTTACTGCTAAAAAGCCGACGTGAAGGTTAAATAGGCGGTGACGAGGGAGCAGGGAGGCGAAATTGAGAGACTGCAGCACCCGAGGTGTCCAATGATACTATTAATATGAACTTGCAGAGGACTCTCCGTGATGCTAAGATTGGCTTGCAAATAGCTTTGAAACAAGGACTTTATGAGAAAAGATAAGAAATTGCTTGGTGTACAAAGTACTCAGGTTGTAGGTAAGCTTTGTTGATGGATTCATAAAGGCAACTGTTCGGGTGAAATGAAAGACATGGGGGAGCTCATGGGGCCCCGCAACAGGTTCATCATCAAAGCCAAAATTATGCATTGTGAGGCTCGCCCATGAGTATTATAATTAGGTATCAGAGTACTCCGTACAGCAAGTACTGTACATCGGAGGTCCATACTACATAGCCGACGTTGCATTAGATTGCATTTATCCAACTTTTAACGGTATGAACAGGTCTCAATCATCTGCAACTTTCAAGCCACGAGGGCGTGATCTCCAGTGCACGACTCAGGCTCCGCCGTGGGGACTGTGGTTGCATGAAAATGGATACTTCCACGATGGCTTATGAAATGACACACTTTGTCTCATTCTGATTCACTGTGCGGACTTTCGCAGAATACGATACTCGAGCCCGTAATGAATGAAGACGAGGGAAACATTGCATTGCTGTTTGTTACATTTCCCGAGCATTCAAGAATGGAAATGGGGTCTTGCCGATCAAATACGCACTCTGTAGGTTATACTTTACAACTTCCTGTCAAGGTTACTTCCAAGAAATCAGTCATCAGAAATCACAGGATTGGCGCGTGTATCGTAACATCGTCTTCGAGGGGCGATTTGTGCTTCACCAATGGAAATAAAGTCCGAGTCGTTGCTCCGTTCAACCAACCTCCAACAACGTTTCAGATGTCAACAAACGAGATTGATTACACTTTGCGAGCGTTTAATAATTCATTTCGGATTTCAAACCCAACTTCCTCTTATCATTGCATCAACCGACCGTTTTCTCTTTCTGTTTGCCACGATATGACTCGGCGGCGCATCTTTAACCTCTGAATCCTTGAGGGTACTCCCGCCTCGGAAGAGTGCCGAGTATGGCCGGTATCATTCATGTATGAGTAGGTACTGGGTATTGATTGATCCAGGAGCAAGGCTGAGAATCTGAGAGAGATAGAAAACTGGAGACTCCGCCATCGGATAATCCAATGATTGGATGTCGGTTGGGTAAAAATGAAGGGGGATATCTTGGTGGATGGATATGTTGGAGGCTGGGAAGCCATTTGATTGTAAACACAAGATGGAAAGAGGATAGAATGGAAAGTCAATCACATACATCTCGAGAGGTCGAAGTGGCGAGAAACAGAATCAAACAACCGATAGTAGTATCAGTTGAAGCTGTAGACATACCTACCTAGTAAATTCTACCTCATACATCACGTTATCAACAATTGATCTATTCTCTACCTCAACTTGATCAGGGCTAATCCCATTATCATATATTCTCCACTTGGGATGAACTATAATTTATATGACACTGACAGAGCCCTTACTCCGTACCTTACCGTCGGACGCCGCGGGTGCTTTGCCCTTGATTTTGATTTTTTTTAATCAAAAAACGTGCTGCTTAGATATGAGCAGGTCAAACCAGCATGAGAAGCTTCTAGAAATAGCCAAAAAGGCAAAGAGCCCACAGGTTTAACAAAGGAAAGGGAAAAGTGTCTACTGCAAGCTAAGTGTTCGTCACAGAATTGAGATGGCTGAGCAAGATGTGCAAGAGAGGTAGGTAGGCTGGTAGGATATTCGGGAACGTAGTACAACATTAGAAATCGAAAATTTACTCTCTCGACTTCTCCGTACTCAGCAGGCATCAGGATGACAGCACGGACGAATAAAGTGTAAAGATTCCAGGGGCCACAAAAAATTCTATTGGAAGTCGATGCCCTGCAAAGGAAGATCTGGATAGCACTAAAAAAGAAAGGAAGAGTAAAATAACTGGTAGCAACTTGGGATGGGCTCTTGATTTGATTGATTGATATCATACACCCATACGGAGTACATACAAACCATACCATACGAACCATACAAACCATACAAACCATACCTACCTACATACATACATACATACATACATACCCTCCATATCTTACCACTCTATTTTGTAGATAT